TAGTTCCGTTTACTTTTACTTTTCTTTACTTTACTTTACGTTTAGTTAGTTAGTATATATATATATATATATATATATATATATATATATATATATATATATGCCCACCAATTTGGACTTTCCGAACGATTGTACATAAGCTACATGTTCATAGGTAAAACAATGACAAATGAAAAGAGTTATACATGTTTATAGGTAAAATAATGACAAATGAAAATAATTATAGGTTAACAAAAGTTGGAAAAGTAGAAAGAGAAAGAAAAAGAGAGAACCATGTGGCACAGGAAAAGCAAAAAGTGGAAAAGCAATAGAGGAAAAAGCAAGAGAAAAGCAATTCTACCAGTAGAATCCTGTTATGTTATGGAAAACTATTTGCTCCCTTGAGTAGGATTTGTAAACTAAAAAATGGAAGGTTTAAAAAACATGTGTTATATGAAACCTATTTTTAGGATTTGAAATTTATTTTTTTGTATTAATAATTATCTAGGTCGAGATTTACCAATTTGAAGGGAATTTGAAGGGATTTTGACATCAAAATTATATTTTTACAAAAATAATTACCTAGTTTGAGATCAATTTGAAAGTATTTTGACACCGAAATTACATTTTCGAGCGCTGTTTCAATGCAGCTTTGCTTTTAACGTATAGCATATGCCTTAAAACACAGGCTTCTGAACAAAAACACGTCTCTTATTATGTTTCACATAACGCAAGGGCTTTTATCAAAGCCTTTCACGGGGTCTACACCCTTCAATATATCATAAAAAAGAAAAAAGAAAAAAAATCAAGTTCTTCAATAATGCAGAACCACCACATTGTACTCGACGACAGCATCCCCAGTTTTGAGATCAAAGGTATAGGTCTTGGCCAAGGCATAACCGCGCGCCAGTCTAAAAGCTCCGCTTCCCCCAACAATGGCCATCTCCCTCACACCGTTAAACACCGCGTTGCGGCCAAGAATGCTAAGGGTGCTACCCTTGTACTTGCCCTTGACAAACACATAATTGAGGGTCATCAGGAGGCCAACTTCCTCTTGAGCAGCCGAGGCATATATCCCTTGAGCCCTACCTATCAGTTTAGAGGTCACCTCGGGTCCCTCTGTAAGGGGATCATCAATCATCACGATCGCTCCGAACCCAGTGGCCGACTTATTGGTGGAGTCCGCTCTTGCTACCTGTATGGCTGTCGGTTTTGGGCCACTGACAATGTCGTGGAAGTAGAAGTGGAGGTGGGTCACCTTCTCTTTGCGAAAACCAAGCATGGGAGCTTCGAAACCGAACTTGGGAGGCTGATTTCTTGGTAAATGGCCCGGTTTTCGTGCTAAAGCTGAGTTGCAGAAGAAGAGGACGATGACGAGACAGAGTGGGGAGAAGCAAGATGTTTTAGAGAGAAGTGAGGAGGCCATTCTGTTCATTGGAGAGAGAGAGATAAGATTTGAAGCGTCTGAGAATGAGAGAGGGGATATGCTTTCCTGTGTTATATATAATGAGAGTAATAAAAGTGATTAAGCAGTTAGGGGCAACCAAAATAAGAAGGGTGGGAGCCAAAATTGATTTTAATTTTCCCTTATTTGACCAGTTCCTTACTTTCCACCACATTTGGGTAGACCAACTTTTTTTATTTTTGGGCAAATAAGACTTCTGCCTTTGATTTCCTCTCTTCTTTTCCTGATTCTCAAACGAGGCGAATACTCCCTTAGATGTTGTTTTTCCCTCATACTTGACCAACGTTTATAATGGTGTTCCAGTTAATTACTTGGTTTTACCTTTCATTTACTTTAAGAAAGGAAATATCAAAGTATTCTATGTACCCGCAGGAGCATTTCAGAGATTCACTACGCCCACTCCCCAGGGCCATTTTGGGACTCGTACTTGTAAAGCCTGATTATATATCAAATCCTGGGTATACAAATTCCGGTATTTGTAAAATGTGGTTTAATGATCAATGTCATTTGGGTACCTTGTAAATTAACTTCGCAAATAACAAATGCTCTCTTTAGTTCATCTAAATGTAAAATCAGGTTTTCACAATAGGAAAATTATTTCATGCAGGTTAGACTGCATTTTTATAAAATGTGGTCTCAAGGTATAAAACGTCCATCTTTAATTGAAATTAAGAGTCCAAATCTTTTCTTCTTAAAATCAATATTTTTATTTTTAAGAGTCGACTCACTTCTACATGGACTCATAGAAACTGTCCTTGACAATACAATATTATTATATTAAAATATATAATACCAATATTAATGATATTGAAGATATTTCATGAATAATAATGATAATGACATCATCATCATCATCATTATTATTATTATTATTATTATTATTATTATTATAACTATTATTATTATAATAATAAGCTCCTCAACCAAGCAACCAACCTCAAAGAAGAAATTTACGAGCGTACCTCAAGAGAAGAAGAACGCTCTCCTATCAAATAGAGATCGTATAATTTATGGATGGTCAGATCTATGTAGTTAGGTTTTAGGAGATCAAAATTCCATTTTTCTTTTTTAAAGAATATTTAAGTGATTCACATATGGATCACAAACTTTCACATTAAAAAAGTCCTCCCAAGCCTTTTGCATAACATAGTAAATATACATTTTTCTCCCACGGGTGCATGATATAAGTGTTATTGGAGAGAGTTAAAAAACATAGAACATAGTAATAACAACATAATGTGTTAAGGATGGCAATGATGGTCAAGCGAAAATTTACATAAGAACCGGAAAAAATGTCTATTATAACGGTTTGACCCAAAATTAGGACGATATTACCAAGAAAGACATAATCCTTTTTTTTTTTTTTTCTTTTTACAATTTTGCTCTCAGTTCGATGTTTCTAACATCGGACCACTCTTAACCCCTTTCCGTCTGCTTGTCCCCTTTCCCCATTAAGTTAAACCATTTTTTTTTATCAATCTGATATGTTATGAGCATTACCTAATCTCCGTTGATGGACCAGAGCTATGCCTGCTACATCTGGTTGATGTTTCCTATGTGTTGTTTTGGATAATAGGTTCGCAACACATACAAGAACATTGGAAGCGACCAACAACATGCACGTCACACCTGCATCTTCATTTACTTCTACTAAAATATTATTTTCAAGATGCATATTGTCAAATTGCTAGGGTCACAACTCGCAATAGATGCCATATGCATCTTTAACTGCTCCAATGAGTCACTCCCAATATACAAAGTAGTTTTCACATTCCCACGCTTGTAGAACATCCATCCATCATTTAACCTTCTGTCGCAGGAACCACTGTAACGACATAACAACCTCACTTCACTTGTAGCTATTGTGATGACTCAAATGATGACTTTATAGAGTTAAAATACTCAAAGGCACCCTAAAGCCAAAATGATAGAGCATTTAAATTCAGTGAGCCACTGATCAATAATACAATTTTCAACGATTCCATACATAGAGCACTCAAATGTCAATAAACCTATGAAATATCACATCATTGATTCAATGAGGAACAAAACTAAATATAGAAACTTTTAGCAATTCTCAATTCTCATAATGAGATGAAACATAGAGATATTGATTTTTTCGATTTGTATTAAATAAAAACATTAAGCAAACACATATAGAAACAACATAGTGCTCTAGTTTTCTATTTGAACATGCATGTTCATTATATAAAGAATTAACACTTTAATCAACACTATAATCTACAAAACCAAATGCAATAAAAAAAAAATCAGATGAACAAATTTTTTTTCATCTTCGAATTTCCTTTTTTGTGAAATTCAACCTATTCTATAGGATAGCAATGGCAACTCACAACAAATTTAATATTTCTAATAATCAATAACAACAGAAAATTTAAGAGAAAAAAAATAACAACAAAAACCATAATCAATATTTGTGGTACATTCATACAAAATTGAAACAAACTTGAGAAAGAATTGACTGAAATGGAATAACCCTAAAATATATGGAACATTTCATGCAAAAAAACAATAGAAAAAATAAAAAAAAATTGTAAATGTACCTAATTTATATGAAAAATAACGATCTTGTGGCGACAAAAAATACAATCCAATCCGAGAGAGAGAGAGGGAAGTTTTCCAAGAGAAAGTTATTAGAGAGAAAGTGAAATTTTCTAAAAGCGAGAAAGATGGGAAATTTGGGAGTTTTTAACCCTAATATTGGTATGATGTTTGAAACATCGGACCAAGGCTGAAAAAAAAAAAAACGAAGACGACTTAACGAGATCGCTAGTGTTTTATCGAGAAGGGGGGTTAAGAGCAGTCCGATGTTAGAAACATTGGACAGGGGGCAAAGTTGCCGAAAAAAAAAAAACAAATTGGGGATTTCATCCTTTTTGGTAATATCGACCTATTTTAGGGTCAAACTATTATAACCAACTGTTTAAAAAATGGATCGGTGCCCCGGATCGGGCACCCAAAAACCCATCCGAATCAGTGAATCGGCGATCCGGATAGGGAATCGGCAGAATCGGTGAGATTAAACCTTTAAAAAAATCCAAAAACATTTATTAAAATTCATTATAAATGTTGTTTTTTAGGAATCCAATAAGAAATGGGGGTACTACATTATTAACTTTCATTTTTTTCATCAATATGTGAATATTGAGATGTTCTTTCCCAATATTGACTTATATTAACCATTAAATTTACATCACACAAGAGAAAAATCATAGAATTATCATGTATGAAATATATAATCATACATGAACTACAATAAAGAATGGATTAAATCGATGAAAAAATGGTCACCAAAATCTCGAATTGGCGGAAAACCCTAATCCACTAAAAAAAAAACCCAAATTATTACAACTTAACTAACAGTAATCCAAAATTTTTACAACATATCTAACATTAATCAAAATTTTTTACAACATATCTAACATTAATCCAAAATTATTACAACCTAACTAATTATAATATTATATACTGAAATTAAAATTGTTGGTTTACATTTTAGAATTATTTTACTATACAAATAATAACAAATCAAAAATATCTTATAATATCATGTAATTTAAAATATATTATTGACAACTGTAGCAAAAAATAGTAAATTATATAATTTAGAATACAAATAAATTAATATATAAAATGTAAGAATTGGTTATCAATGTAGAAATTATTAGAATACGTACGAATTTTTGAAATAACACTTTAATTTTTCAAAAATCTAATTTTTTAGGTTTCAAAAATCAATTTTTTTAAGGTTTCTAGAATAATCGTAGCTCAAATGCATACTTGAAAAGCATAATACTTGTTGTATTACTTTTTATTTATTTTTTGGCAATAAATACTTGTTGTATTACTTTCTTTTTTTTTTTTACAAGAAAAATAAGAAGACGGTACTACCCAAGTAACTTTTATTTTTTTATCAAAGTAACTTTTATTTTTTTGTCAAAGTAACTTTTATTTTTTTTGACAAAAAATTATTTTTTTGTTAAGGTAATTTTTATTTTTGTCATAATTTTTTTTTTTTTTTACCAAAGTAACTTTTTTTTTTGACAAAAAAGTAAATAAAATGGTGGCTACTCAAGGTTCAAACTAGGAACCTCTTGAGAGGAAAAGAAAACTGATAACCAACTACACCACATGACAATAGTTGTCTTATTTTGTATAATAAAAAAATATATTCTATTACGTTCTCAAGCCTACGTACCTAACTAAAATCTTACATCGAAAAACCTAAAAAAGTTTGACATCCATAAAATACCACTTGGTACCGCGATCTGTAGCGCGCGTGAAAAGGATGTCAGTCCGTCTCACGTAGCGACGCTTGTACACGCCCGTCACACATGACGACACTTGTACATGCCTAACTCACCCCTGTTGTGATGTCATAATCCGTTTCATGACCTTAAAATCGTCCAACTTGCCTGGTTCCTCGCCCGACTGACCTGGTTCCTTTCTAAACACAGGTAGTTGCCTGTTTTTAGCTAGAATCGACATAGGGTGACTGCTTCACCCGAGTTTGTAGTGACTCACTGATTTTTAAACCACTGGTTATAACTGATCTTTTTTTCTGATCCATACATAAATTTCCTAAAGAAAAATTAATTTGAAGGCTTAAAATTTTTATATTTGGCAAGGGAAGCCAAAAGATAATATACTTTTGTGGGAGTATGATGTCCATTTACTCCCCCAAGTGAAACCCACCTAGAATTAATTTTAGGATCCCAAATTTTTGGGGTGTAACATCTTCAACCCATAAATTAATCTCAACAGAAAAAGAAAAAAAGAAAAAATCTTTCCAGATTGAATAGAGACCATCTAATTTTGATATGGTGAGATCTAACGGTCAAAAACTAAAATTTCAAATTTTATTTTTGAAAATAATTATCTAACAATTCTTAACGGGTTCGCAAAATTTTAGATTAAAAAAATACTTCCAAGTAGGTCTTCTGATCGAGGGAGTAGAGATAAACTA